TCACGCCTTGCTCGGGGCGTAATGCTTAGAAAAAAAAAGTTAATCTTGAAACGAGGTCTTATGAGGGTAAAGAGAAAACATTCCCTCCTCTCATTTCATAGTTTACGTACCACCGCAATAAAATGGACGAATTTAAAAGTGTAATGTTAGAGTTGATGAAACACCAACAGGAACAGCAACTACTGTTGGAACAGAAATATATGAAGAAAGACAAAAGAAATTCCAACGAGAACAAGCAGAATATCAGATGAAATTTGAGGAATTGCACTTATAAATTCAGGTTAAAGAACAGAAATTTGAAGAAATGCTATTTCAAACACAGAATGAGCAAAGGCACTTGTATAATATATCCATAAAACCAAAATGAGGACAGCGAAATCGCGTTCTCTCAAAATGATATATGGAGTGCTATTGAAAATTTCACGTTTGCACCTGAAGAAGAAATTACATTTAAACGTTACGAGGACTTATGAAATACAGATTGTGCAAGTTGGGCTGACCATAAAAAAGTTTTCCTCAGGAAATTACAAACAGCAGAATATATTCAGTTTGTTAACTATATTTTGCCTAAGAAAACCAGCGACTTGAAATTTAAATTTCAATCATTAACAGAACTCGTCAGTCCAAAAACATCCCTGTTCCACAAGCGTTGGAAATGCATGAATGTCACCCGTAAAGAAGACGAAGATTATACTAATTTCGTGAACGTAGTCAATAAACACTGCGATGACATCGAATTGGTAGAGTTAAGCGCCAATAATTTTAAATGTTGATTTTCGTCCAGGGTTTGATTTTAGCGAAAGACGCCGAAATACGTCGTAGGGTACTCAACAATCTTGAAAAAGAGCCCGGCGTTACTTTACAGCAAGTTACCGAAAATTGCCAACGTTTCATGAGCAACAGAGAAGATTCGAAAAACATCGAACAGAGTGGTGTGGCTCACATTAAAAGAACTTAGAAAAATTAAAAAGGGTCAACCAAAAAATAATGAAGTTACTTTGCCGTCAAGACCATGTTTCGTGTGTGGTCAGTTACATTGGTATAGAGATCGTCTTTTTAAAGATAAAAAATGTTTTAATTGCGATAAACTGGGACACAAAAGTTCCCACTGCAGGATTAAGAAGACGAAAAAAGTTTTGTAAAAATTATCAAGTCTGATGAACCAGAAGTCGTAACATCAGAAAATATATTGAAGTTCAAATATTTAACAAAAATATACGGCTACAGCTTTATTTCTGTTCAGAATTATCAAACATGGAAAAACAGGGTAAGCCGCCTTTGTTAAGAACGAGCCGAATAGCTAAAGAAGTAACTGGCGACCCTATTAAGTTTATGGGCGAACTTATAATGAACGTTTCATTCAAAGGTAAAACTTTAAAGCTAAAGGCGTATATTATGAAGAATACGGCTAATTTCTTCGGGACTGATTCGTTAGAACAGTTTCAACTTTTGGACATGCCTATTAACTCATTATGTCAAAAAGTCGAAAATTTGAATGACGAAGCAGAAAAGTTGAAAGATGAACTTGAAAAAAAAAGAATTCCCGACGTTTTCAGTGGAGGACTAGGAAAATGCACAAAAATGTTTGCTAAGTTTGATTTAAAGCCAGACGTAAATCCAGTTTTGAAGAAAAAACGTAACGTTCCATTCGCCTCGTTAAATTAAGTTGACAAGGAATTGAATCGACTTGAAGAAATGGGATTTCTGGCAGTGGTTGAATACAGTGAATAGGCATCTCTCAAAGTTTATATTAAAAAAAAGAGCAAAGAAACTCGTGTATGTGCTGACTTTTCTACGGTATTGAACAGCACCCTAAAGGATCACCATTATCCCCTTCAAAGTCCAGAGGAGATATTCGCTAAGCTCAGTGAAAGAAAATATTTTTCTAAGATTGACTTAAACGACGCACATCTACACATACCCGTGGGCGAGTAATGCTCGAAGCTTCTTTGCACAAGGGTTTGTACAAATTTTTAAGACTTCCGTTCGGGGTTAAAGTCTCCCCTTCCATTATTCAACAGGACATGGACACGATGTTAAATGGTTTGGATTTTGTGGTGGCCTATCTCGATGACGTTCTTATAAAAACTGAGAGCATCGAGGAACACAAATCTCACGTCTGGCAGGTGTTCATGAGAATCCAGGATTATGGATTCAAATTAAAAGACGGGATACGTGAATTTTTCTTAGAGAGGATTAAGTACTTGGGTCAAATAATTGACAAAGACTGAAGACGTCCCAACCCAGATAGGACAACGGCAATAAAGAATATGCCAGTACCAGAAAATGTGTCGGCTCTTCAAAGATTTTTAGGTCTTGCCAACTATTACAGCATTTTTGTTCCAAGAACGCACAGTTTGAGAGTTCCACTTAATGAATTATTAAGAAAACACAAAGGGTGAGAACAAAAAAACAAATGTCCGGAAGCATTTAAGAAAATAAAGGAGATACTTGTATCAGATCAGTTCCTGACTAATGAATCAGGAACAGATCTGATATAAGTACCTCCATTACCTTGACATCATTGTAGCCAGCGATGCTAGCTCCTACGGCAACGGGGCGTGCATTTTACACAAGTTAAAGGATGGATCGGTAAAGTCAATCACCCATGCATCTAGGACGCTATTACCACCTGGAAGAGGTTACTCGCAAATAGAAAAGGAAAACTTAGGAATCATTTTTGCGGAAACTAATTCCATAGATTTATTCATGGAAGGTTCTTTGTGGTGCAGACAGACCATCGTCCACTCCTTACTATCTTTGGATCAAAAAAGGGCCTACCAACACATACTGCTAATAGACTACAAAGATGGGGAACTATTCTCCTCAATTATAAATACAAAATGGAGTTTCTCCCATCCACTAAAATCTGTCATGCAGACGGTTTGTCTTGATTGATACTTAAGTATACTGAACCCCTGGAATACACAGTCATTGCTGCCATAAGAAATAAAAAGTACCTTGTGCAATACTGTCAGGGAGCTCCCTGTAACAATTGACGAGATAATAGACAAAGCGTCCGATGATGAGTTGATAAAGAAAGTAGACAAACTAAATAGTAAAGACCAGAATATGTCAGAAGTTTACTCACTCTATAACGACATGCTAATGTACGGAGACAGAGTAGTAATCCCATCTACACTACAGAAAAGAACATTAAAGGAATTCCATGTTGGCCATCCGGGAACTTCAAGAATGAAGAGTCTGATGAAGAGTTAGGTCTAATGGATCAACATGGACAAGGATATTGAAAACACTGTAAGATCGTGCAAAGGTTGTGCTTTGGCTGCTAAAGCACCTCCGATAAAATTCAATCCTTGCCTTAAAACCGACTGTCCGTGGTCGCGGATACACATTGATTTTGCTGGTCCACTTGATGGTTTTTATTACCTTGTGGTAGTTGAAAGTTATTCCAAGTGACCAGAAATATTAAAATGTAAGAAGCAAACCGCTGAGGTGACAATAAAGTTTTTGCACGAGGTATTTTCCTGTTTCGGAATTGTTGACTGTCTCGTAACAGACAATGTCACACTTTTCACATTTTTTTTTTTAGTCATTCCAGATCGAAAATATTACCACGGTGCCATATCCCCCAATAGATAATGGAAAAGCAGAACGTTTTGTGGACACTTTCAAGAGATCATTGAGGAAGGCGAGAGGTACTCCCACCGATACGGCTATACACAGTTTTTGCAGGTCTATCATGTAACCCCTAATAGCAGTGCACCATCTGCCAAGATTCCAGCGGAGGACATGTTTGCCAGGAAAATAAAATCGGCATTTGACGAATTCCTTCCAAGTGAAATGAAAGCGGGAAATAGGAATAAAGTGCTTAAAAAGCGCTTTATGATTGGTGAAAAGGTTTATTTTCGTGTATTTGGGAATAATAAATCTCACTGGCAGATGGGAACAATAGACAGACAAATTGATAACGAATTTTATATACAAACCCCATGTAAACCAAATATGAAAACGGTCTAAAAGCGTATTCGACAGGGATCCCATAGAAGATGACACTATGGAGATTGTCTTTGACATGTTTGAGGTTCCAATACCGCAATGAGTGTCAGAGCACAGAAGGCCCAAAAGAAAAAGGAAATTTACGGAACCTTTAGAAATTAACCCGAAAAGAAAAAGATATTGAACATCTTTCATTTCATACCATCTCTACAGAAAAAGGAAAAGAATAAGTAAAAAACCCCATCTCTTCATTTATGAACTTTGAATTACCAGAAAAGCACAATACGCATTGGATCATTGGAAATTATTAACTTTATAATTTACCATTAAACTTATCCAATGTCTCATTAATTAGGAATAAAGAATAGAGCTTAATAAAAAAGGAATGTTGTTAAAACGTAAAATGTTTGTCCTAAAACTAAAAAAAAAGACTGAAAATGGGGGGGGGGTTGTAGTATCCTCCCTAAAAAGAGTCTATGTTGGACTCTTCCGCCTACTATAAGATTAGTAGGAGAGAAGGCCTTGTGGGAACAGTCGCATAGATTGTTCATCCGTCGAACTATCTGCCTTGAGCAGAGAAGAACCCGGACGAGACTTTGCCGAAGGGCAAAATTTTGTCCGGTAGACAGGCCCTGAACCCGTTTATACGGATTCTAAAGGAATATTTTTGGCCGAGCCTACGGGCTCGGAAAACCCACGGTAAACTCGGCTTTGTGTCACATACATCCCTCGCGGTGGGGATCTTAAATATTAACAGTCGAATAGATTGAACGCTGGGTCAGCCGACACACACACTAGTAGCGTAATACTCTTCTGTTGTACTTACTTTTTAATATACGATATATCAGCAACACTTGTCTTGTTATTTCTTTAGCTATTTACTTGGTCCCTACAATCTATCTATCTATCTATCTATCTATCTATCTATCTATCTATCTATGTGTCTTCCTCACCTGTTTATCTATATATAATATGTAGATAATATTACACTCTATATATCTAGATATTTTACAATCTAATCGGCTGTTTATTATCTTGGCTTACAGCCATATCACGTTGAAACACCAGTTCTCGGACAATCACAGAAGCTAAGCAATGTTGAGCCTAGTCAGTATAGAGATGGGTGACCGCATAGGAATACTAGGTGGTGGAAACTTGGATATGCCACTTGTGTAATGAATAATGGATAACAGATCTATCTATCTATCTATCTGTGTCATCCAGATGTTGATGATATTATACATTACATTTTCCCGTCATTTGTTGCCCGGATGAAGACATCTGACGAAGGGAGGAAAGCACAACTACCGAAACGCTGTGATGAAATCAAAGGTGACGGCAATAGTCCGAGTGTAAATAGTGTAAATGATGATAACTCCGAACACATTTTCAAATGCAGATACGAAAGCAAATATATGCTACACTACCTAAAACCTCACTTCGACTCCAAAGTCTAAATAAGTAATAATCAGTCTTGTATTTTTGAGATGTTGAATTTTCATTATTTTCATTATTTCATTATGATACGTGAATCATTGTTCTCATCTTTGATATCACACAATATCACCACAAAATTTCGGCCGTTATGCTCTTTGGCCTTCTCATGTACTTGTCGGTCTGGGTAAACTTCCCAGAAAATCACACACACACACACACACACACACACATATATATATATATATATATATATATATATATATATATATATGGGCAGCATGGCCCGGCGTTGCCCGTGCTTGATTCAAAAATCGTACGACTCATACAGCAATCGCTATCAATTGACTTAAAATATTTTTGCTCTTCGCTGCCTTTAAAGGAGTGTCCTTTTCCGTGCTGATGTTGCTACATGCCTTACTTCTTGCCTATCTCACACTGCAAATTTTTTCTAAGCTCTATACTAAACATTAAATCTGTTACGAAAAAAGAACTAAACAAAAACGAACACAAAACGATCAGCTTTAAAAAAAGGACTCGTAACTGGAAAAACCGAATGAAAAAAGAATGTTGACAACAAATACTTTTTCACACCCAACCCAGTTCTGTGGAATCAGAATCAACGTTAAGTTTAAGCAAGCGAATGAGCCAACTGGAGTAAAGTGCCATGCAGATTTAAATTTTCCCCCTTTTGACGAATGCATCTATTGATTTTTTTGCATACTAGCATGCTAGTTAACATTCATGACAGTCAGTTGTTGGTTCTCATGCTGGCCAGTAGAATCTTCCTGCCTATTCGTGGCAGCCAGCTATAGTCTCTCACTCTGGTTAGTAGAAAACGGCCGCAAACTCCATGAAAACTGCCGTAGAAGCATGAAAAAATCGATTATTTCCACTATCGATGGGAGATGAGAGATTCAATGTCAGTCTTGGCCTTCGCGCTAACTTGGAGCCTGTGCATGTAAATTTTGGTGCAAATCCGTCAAAAATTGCATGTGCATTCGTTACACACATACACATACACATACATCCTGCCTTATATATATATATATATATATATATATATATATATATATATATATATATATATTATTGAGCACTAATATTATTTATTATTTTAGCTGTTCGTAGGGAGAGCTTTACCTTTGATTGTAGTAGATGCTATTTTCAGTACCCTAATTATTTTATTAGATGCTTTTGTCAGTGCCCTAATTATTTTATATTCATTTTTTTTTGTTTTTTGTTTTTTTTTAAGCATTTCACCCCAAGCAAATCAGAAGTGCCATTATCACACAGGGGGTTATGGAGAGTGAAAATGAGAGAAAAGAGTGGGTGTAGGGAGGGGATTGAAGAAAGGAAAATAGAACAGGTATCAATGCAACAAAACATGGTGACTGAGGTTGCATTTAGGCTTTTGATGATTGTAGCTATCAGGGAAGCAAGATAGAGGAATGGAGTTCCAATATGGAGAGGTGCGAGGAAAGAAACTGTTAGAAGGGCGGTTACATTTAACTATTTCAACAGTAAAAAGTTGGGACCTAGATGCCAATCTAGTAGTACACTTAAATTCATGTAGTCAGAGCACCAGGGAAAAATGCTTATCAGTGCAGTAGCCATGAAAATATTTGTAGAAAAGACAGAGGGAAGCCACACACGTCTGTGAGAAAGCGGCTGAAGTCAAGAAACTAATTCAGTACCGATTACATTACAGATCCTACTTTAGATATTTTGAGAATATTGCAGTAAGGGAAGGTAGGGGAAAATTTTATGGATAAAACTTTAACTGCGCAACCAGTAATAAAAATCACAGAAATGCATTCTATTTGTTATTCACTTAAATATCATTTCATAGTAATAATATATATATATATATATATATATATATATATATATATATAATATATTTAAAAGTAATAATAATAGTAATAAAAGTAATAGATACATACACACATATACAATACATATACATATATCCATACATATAAACTTACATAGTTATAAACCTAATATATATTTTTCAGTGTTTGATGCAAAATAAATGTCTATTTTTGAGACTATATAAACTTATATTTATGATGACATTTAAGTATAATTTCATTTCTCTGGTTCAATAATTGGTTTGTATTTTTGTACTTCCAGGCATATTTTTGCATCTCTTTATATATATATAAAAGAGATGCAAACTATATATATATATATATATATATATATATATATATATATATATATATATATATATATCGTTGAAACTTGATGAATGCATGAATAATAATTCAACACAAAAGGTAATTAGAACAAAATGTATTGAAACAAGAAAGTGTACACAATATTTACATATAGTCTTTTTTATATATTCCTGGTAAGACTGTTCCTGGAGAATGTGTTGACTGAGTCGCAGTCGGGCAGAGTCTCTGGTTGAATCTCTTGATTCCTCCTCTCTTCCAGTACCAACCATATTTTATTCGGTACTCCACTATGCAAATTAGGTGGATCCTTTTTGACCACAACATATATTATATATATATATATATATATATATATATATATATATATATATATATATGAATTAAGATCAAATATAGATAGGAATGCAAGAGAATGATAGGATAAAAACAAATAGGAAATCTTTATAAATCTGACATGCTTTGCTTTTATTAACACTTGAGATGTGGAGGTTTATTGTACACGAGGGTCGGCTAGGTGAAGTGTGAGAGGGGGAGCACGTCGCTTTGGTATTTACTGGTTCCCCCACGAGAACGAGATGTGACACAAGGTCGGTTTAATGTGAGGACCCGTGCGCGTACACACGGTCAGGGACAAAAATTGCCCTCAGCCCCCGCAACTGTCGGTTGCGCTGGCCTCGATACGAGCACCGATCCCTCCCTCTGGTGCAATGGAGAGGGCGCGGCCTCGGGCAACTATTCCCCAGGGCTGAGCACCTCTTCAGTAATATTTTCTCAGTTTCCCTCCGTCCTTAGACAGAGAAGCCCCTGAGCGGACTCTATCCAAATACAGAGACGCAACTGAGAGATGATAAAGCGTGTACACCCCTCCAATGTGTGAGATCACGTCACTCTATTAACCCGGAGCCAAGAAATCGGCTGTATTTATGTCGGCTGCGGTAGCCTCGTACCGGTTGGCAATATCTTTTGGTTGATGACTAAAAATAAACTTCCGCATTTTGACTGCACACATGGGTTTCATTTGGACACTATGTGTATTTAAAGTAGTTTCCGGTTATTATTTTTAGTTAGGAGGACTTGTGTATGTTTATGTTTCATTTGTTTTACTTTTTGTGTATCGTTCTCTGAAAAAAACGCTGAGTCACCGGAAGCGAACGGCATTCGGACGTTTGAGTAGCCGGCAGTCACTTCCGGCCAGGTGCGATACAATTACCCGTGCTTTCAAATTAATTTCGTGCGAAAACATTTTTTTTCCAACTTTTGGCGCTGTCAAAACCACCGCCGGGTAATTTTACGTAGTCCTGTGAAGTTTTGTTGAAATCGGTTGAAAAATGTAGGAAATACGATCCCATATATAAACGAACAGACACACACACACACACACACACACACACACACACACACACACACACACACACACTATCTGCGTTTTTATAATAAGTGTATATATATCTATATATATATATATATATATATATATATATATATATATATACAACACCTGTGTGTTTGTGTGCATAAATAATAATATTCAGCTATTCGTATGTACGATCGTTATATCTATTTGTGGATCCATGTCTTCCAATTTATCGCCACATTACATATGCTGAAAGTATAAATAAGCATTTAGCGTTGTATGAAAAATCTACAATTATCCCAGGACACGCACAACATTTATTTTTCTTCGATGGAGGTCTGTTTTGTTTTGATTTTTTAGTGGATGTGCGGGTGATTTAAGAGATTTATCCTAGTCAGTCCCCTGCCTTTTAGAGTTCGAATTTCACTCGAGTTTCTTATATTCCCTTACGCACAAATAGTAGGACTTGTAAAGTCATCGTTTTCTCCAGCGAATCGTTTATACCGCATACAATGACAAAAGTGTTGATAATCCGTAAAAAAAAAAACAAATCAGTCAAACAAATTATTTATCGGCTCTCGGAATACCTGCTTAATACGTTTTGCTTTTGAGTTGAAATCAGTTACGTTTTCTGGCCGGGAAAACTACCAAATATTATATTGCCAAATATTATTCAGCGTAAAAATTAGGAAATGCGAGTAAGAGAATAAATAGGAATAAGGGGGATGTGAGAGAGAAAAGACAGAAGGTGTGTCAGCTAGAAAGAAATGAAAACAAACGACATACCCCCCCACACACACAGAGAAACATATCCATATACAGAGTGACTACATCCACCCCCCAAATAAAATGATAGCATTTAAAATGTGAATATCCCAAAGGAACGAATTTAAATAAGCTTGAGGTTGAACAATAAAATATTTATATATCAAAATTTGAATTTGCTATGGTCCGGTTCCTTGTTTCACGGTGATAGTCCAAGGTAGAACCAATAAAGAAGAATTCGATCAGGTATGGAATAACACAGATATATTACAAACAGGAATATATACAGAGAAGTAGAAAGTGTTAATATGAACAATCAGGTTTAGTAGAGAGAACAATGTAGTCTCGACCAGTAACACTATTCCAATGTCTTGCAGTAATTGTCTGAACGCGACTCTGTTTCGGACTGCCT